TTTTTTTTTTTTTTTTTTGTACCGGGGATCCAACTCTGGACCTTGCACTTACAAGGCAGGCACAGTGCCGCTGAGCTAAATCCCTGCCTTGACATTTCCAATCATTATGTGTGGGTTTCTGCTGATATTAAAAGGCCAAGGAGCAGGCATGGTGGAGCACACCCATAACACTCTGGGAGACTGAAGCAGGAGGATCACATGTTCAAGCCCAGCCTGGGCAATTTAGTGAGATTCTATCTCAGAATAAAATGAATGAATGAATGAAAAAATAAATGAATAAAAATGGTGCAGATGCAGCTCAGTGCAAAGGACCTGGGTTCAGTCCCAGTATCACAGGGACCAGGGTGAGGCTCAGTGGGGGAGCACTCGTGCAAGACTTCTCCCTGGCACACACTGACCTCCCCTTCGTCTTCGGGACCCCGGCCTCACGCTCTGCCCCACTGGTACAGATGTCTTCTCTGTTTTCTCTCCTCTGACCCAGATGGCACCTGCTGGTGCCTGGCTGTGCTGGGCCTCCCTCCTGTTCCTGGCCAGGCCCGCCCAGCCCTGCCCCGTGGGCTGTGACTGTTTTGTGCACAAGGTTTTCTGCTCTGATGAGAACCTGGCCACCATCCCGCCGGACGTCCCCCGGGACACCACAGACCTCGTCTTTGTGGGGGCTGCATTGCTTGAGGCGGGGCCCCGGGCCTTTGCTGGCAGCCCCAACCTCACCAGTTTGGTCTTCCTCAACACCCAGCTGCAGCGCTTCGGGCCTGACGCCTTCGGGGGGCTGCCCAGGCTGAGGGACCTGGAGGTCACCGGCAGCGCCTTCAACCTCAGCAACGACACCTTCGCCAGTGTGACCTCACTGGGCCAGCTCACCCTGAGCTTCGACTCGCTGGACGCCCTGCCGGAGGACCTGTTCCTGGGCCTGGATGCCCTGGAGTCCCTGCAGCTGCAGGGCAACCAGCTCCAGACCCTGCCCTGGCGGATCTTCCAGCCCCTGCGGCATCTGAAGTCCCTCAACCTGGGGCAGAACCAGCTGGCCTGGCTCCCTGAGGGGCTGCTGCACCCACTGTCCGGCCTGCGGTCCCTGAGGCTCAGTGACAACGAGCTGTCCCAGGGCCTCCCCCTGGGCATCTTCGCCCACCTGGGCAATCTGCAGGAGCTCTACCTGAACAGCAACGCCCTCCACGAGCTGCCCCCGGGGCTGTTCTCAGGGCTCTTCCGCCTGGAGCGGCTGTGGCTGCAGCACAACGCCCTCCACCACCTGCCCGACACCATCTTCTCCGACCTGAGCAACCTGACAGCCCTGAGCCTGAAGGCCAATGAGCTGCAGGTGCTGCCCGCCGGCCTGTTCACCTACACCCCGCACCTGCGCAGCCTGTCCCTGTCCTACAACTATCTGGGGGTGTTTGCGGAAGGCGTCTTCGCCAACCTGTCCAGCCTGGAGACCCTCATGCTCTCCCACAACCGCATCGAGCGGCTCCCGGCTGGGCTCTTTCGGGACTTGCGGGCGCTGATCCAGCTGCACCTGGAGAGCAATAACCTGACGGCCCTGCCTGCCGGGCTCTTCCACAACCTGTCCCGCCTCGAGCTGCTCAACCTGTCCTGGAACAAGCTGAGCACGCTGCCTGAGGGCCTCTTCGACAGCAACTACAACCTCTTCAACCTCGCCCTGCACAGCAACCCCTGGCAGTGCGACTGCCACCTGGCCTGGCTGTCCCGCTGGCTGCGCCTTTGGAACAACCAGCTGCTCCACAGCCGCGCCTTCTGTGCGGGGCCCGCCCACTTGCATGGCCAGGTGTTTCGCGCCTTGAGGGAGGACCAGCTGGTGTGCCCTGTGTCCGGGTACCCGGGGCTGGACTCCAGGGTGGCCGGGGGAGGCTGGGACAACAGGGCAGCCTGGAGCCGGTGCACCTACAGCGACGCGGAGGGCACGGTGGTGCTGGCCTGTGACGAGGCCCAGTGTCGCTGGCTGAACATCCAGCTGTCCCCCCGGCAGGGCGGGGGCTTCCTGGCCATGATGTTCAATGCCAGCCAGGAGTGGGACCTGAAGTCCAGCTGTGGCTCTGTGAGGGTTACCGTGTCCCTCGGGGCTCGGGCAGCAGGGCCCTAGGGGCACAGAGCCGCGTGCCTGGGCAGGTGAGGGCAGAGCAGCGGAGGCCTGGCCGCTCCCGGTTCTCAGGTGTGAGGGCTGTGGTTAGGTCTCCAGGGTGGGGCTGAGTCCGGTCCCCTCTCTTCTTCCCTGCTGTCCCGTCTCGGAGTCTGAGGCCCATTGCCACCCCCTGGTGCCTTGTAAAAGCCCTGGAGAGCTGTTCTGAGGGCATCAGAAACCCCTCCCCATCCGTCCCTTCTCCAGGTTTCCTCTTACTTGATCCTGGTCTGCTGACCCCCACTGGTGTCCCAGACCAGAGGGACTGTCCCACACTGTCCCACTGCTGTCCCACCACCGTCCCAAACACGCCGGAGGCCCCACGCTTCTGAGGCCCAGTTCTAAAGCCAGGTGCTGGTTCCAGTTTCTTTGTTCTGAAGGGACACTGAGGTAAGCAGGGACAGTAGAGGCAGAGGCGGCCTGGAGCTGGGGTGTGGCCTGGATTCCTGTGGCAAATCGCATCCCCTGTCCATCTCTGCTGCATTCAGGAGAAACCGAGGCAAGGTGGCACCTTGGGAGGGTTAGCACAGTCCAGGCCTTCATGACCTGAAGCCCCAGAGGACAGTAGTTTCTTCACCAGGTGGGCACCAAGGTGGCGGCTCCCTGAGAGGGAGAAGAGGCCCAGGGAGCAGGGAAGGGGTGGTGGGGGTGGCCTGCTCTGGTTCTTGGCTTGCTCCTGGCACCTGCTCCTGTAGGCTCCTTTGCTGGAATTGTTCTCCCTCGTTTTGGGGGCTCCTCTGCTGACCCAGCCTTGCTGCCACTGTTTCACTGTCCCTCGGCTGCCACCTGCACCCGGCCTCCTCGGGGCTCCCCATCTCCGTGTGGGGCTCCCTACCGGTGTCTGAGCCAAGCTCTGGCCCTACTCCTCCTGGGTCCCCACGCAGGACCTGCAGGCCCTGGCCAAGCATTTTCCTGGCCCTCCTCCGCTCCTCTCAGGGCCACCCCCAGCTTCCAGCTCACCTTCTGCTTGGTGCCCCGGACTAGACCACGGCCCAGGCTTCCTGGGCAGCCAGGCTAGGTGGAGGGAGAGATGGCCCGAGGTACAGCAGCTGCCGGCAGCTCACAGTCCGGGGAAAGCACAGAAGAAAATGCGAAGCAGGGCTCTCAGGGAGTCCTGGAGAACCAGAGACCAGGGCCGAGCTCAGCAGAGGGCACAGGTGACCTGGGCAGGAGGGCTGGAAACCCGTGGGGCTGGGCCAGGCCAGGCTGCCCAGGGGGACAGGGCTGGGAGCTGGGCCCTGACTCTGCGGTTCAGTAAGGGCACTTGGCTGTGGGTGCAAGGGGAGCGCCCCTGCCAGTGCAGGGTCGGTGCAGGGCCGAGGGCAGGCGGGGCCTCTGCGGTTGCTGCCTGGCCGGAGGTGACAGCCCAGCCGCACACCCAGCTGGGTGGGAAGTCCCGACCACGAGCCGCAGAAATGCAGCGGAAACAGTGGGGCGGTCACTGTGGAGATTCCTCAGAGCCAGAATGAGAAACTCCATTCCACCCAGCTATTCCCCTTCTAGGTATTTTCCCAAAAGAGTCAAAGGCATCCTATTACAGTGATCCATGCACACCTATTTTTATAGTAGCACAATTCCTAACAGCTAAGTCTTGCAAGTGGCCTATCTGTGCATCAGCAGATGAACGGATAAAGAAAATGCGACACGGGAATACTACTGTGCCGTAAAGAAGGATAAACTTGAATCACCTGTAGGAAAATGGATGGATGCATCTTGAGATTCTAGGTCACTGAAAAAAATCTGAGGCGAGCTTACATATCTCATGGTTTATTTTCTATAAGAAGCCCAAAGTATAAATAAATTAATAAAATTAAAAATAGATAATTAGAAACAGAGATAGATCTTTTGCAAAAGGGTAGGGGTTTGAGAGATGGAGGGAGGGAGGGGGAAAGGGTTGAAAAAGGAACTGCGGTGTGTTATGCATAGGGAAAGTGGTCACCACCTGCCCTGAACCTAAAGCTGGGAAATGAAAGCAGCGGATGGTGTCGCCGGCATCTCTTGGTCCCAGGGAAAATGGGACTCTGGGGGTCGCTGGGTGGGGCCTGGCCAGGGGACTGGTGTCACCCTCAGGACAGCCCGCAGCTCTGAGCCCAGGAGGCTGGTGAGGGAGCCGCGTGGGTGGGATTGGGGCAGGAAGCGGGGGCCCTGGGGAGCCTTGACCTCCCCCATGGGTGAGGGGCTTAATGAGGCAGTGGCCAAGGGCAGCTCCAGGGAACGGAGAGGCGAGGGCCTGCAGCTGACAGGAAGCAAAGCTCTCCTTGATCTCCCTCAGGGCATTTTACCAAGGTCTTCTGGAGGCCCGGTCTGATCCCAGCAGACGGGGATGGGAAGAGGGCGTGGTGTTGCACACCTGTGATCCCAGCACTGAGGAGGCTGAGGCAGGAGGATCACCAGGAGTTTGAGGTCAGCCTGGGCTACGTTGTGAATTCAAGGCCAATTTGAGCTGCACAGTGAGACCCTGTCTTGAAAAACAAAAACCAAACAACAACAACAACAACAACAACAACAACAACAATAAAACAGGTTGTGGGGGAAGTAGTCAGCAGATTTGCCAAAGCAGCACTTTTCCAAGTCTGCTCCATTCTGTTCCCAGAAGCACTTAGCATAATTGTGACCATGTTTCCGGAGGTGGGGAATGAGGCCTGCAGAGGCTGAAGAGGCCACCATGGGGAAGGGACCCCACTCCCCTGGCACAGGAACTCTGGGAATTTCTGTCCAAGCAGTGGCTGTCTGTGGTCCAGATGTGGCCCATGCAGTCGTGGCTCCACTGACAGGGACAAGGGGCAAGGTGATCTGGCAGGTGGTTCTCAACTGCACTTTCATTTGCTTTGTTTTTTAAGATAGTGTCTTGCTATATAGCCCAGGCTGGTCTCGAACTCACAGCGATCCTCCTGCCTCAGCCTCCCGAGTGCTGGGATTACAGGCCTGCGCCACCACGCCCAATTACTCTTTATTACACTTTTTTTCTCCAAACACATAACTCTGGGTGAAATTAAAATATAATTTCTCCCCAGGGGAAGAAGCCCTGGGCAACAGCCAGCCTGGAGCATTTGGCATTGGGTTAACTGCGGGCTGGCACCTGCAGGACAGGAGCGGAGAGACGGTAACAGGAGACAGGCAGGAGGCTCCCGGCTCAGGCCCGGGCAGTGTCACTCCCTTTCCTGCTCCCTTGCCCTTTTTCATCTCTTTCTTCTTCTGAGGCAAAGAGCTGTGCACACCTGGTCTGCGGGGAGACCACCCAGACCACGCGGATGTCCCCAACCCCAGCCACAGGGTGCCTCCCCTCCAGGGTGCATTTCTCCCACATGCGTGAGAACTCTGCCCAGGGTGCACTGAGGTCTCTATCTCTGACCCCATCCAGCGACGTCCTGGCGATTCAGGAGGCTGAGGAAGGAGGACTGCTCGAGTTCAGGAGTTGCAGACCATTCTGGGCAACATCGGGAGACCCCCTATCTTAAGCACAACAAAATGAAACAGACCAAAAAACCTCAGCAAAAACCAAACCCCGGTCCTGGGGCTTTATCTGATTAAACCACCTGGGAGGTGGAGGGGGACCCCGGCGACATCAGCCTTTTTGCAGTGGTGGGGACTGAGCCCAGGGCCTCCCCAGCCCCAGAAATCTGCTTGCTTGAACGGAACTATCAGGCTTCTGCAGGGATTTGCACACACAGCCCAGGTCCACAGCCCATGGCCCAGTGCACTCTGAGGTGCTGACCCACGGAGGTCTCTGTGGCCATTTGCAGCTGGACCTGGGGACATGACACAGCTCTGTCCCCCCAACCAATGTGTGTTCTGCATGACCCCCAAGAATGCACCCAGGCACAGGACCCCCAGAGAAATGCATCTGGAGGCTGCTGCTCCTTTCTGGGGATATTTTCAGTGTTACCCCTATGGTGCCCTCCAGAGCTGGTGTTATTGCTGCTGGTCTTGCAGTACAGAGTGGCGAAATCCTGTCTGCCGGTGGGAGCTTCCAGGACACAGTTCAGTGATTCCCTGCTGTTTGTCAGCCATGCACCCCAGGACAGGTTCCGGAGCTCTCTGTGCCTCAATTTCCCTGCCAAATGGTTCATCACCTAACAGTTCCTGCCTCATAGTTTTACAGGTGAAGATAAACTAGTGTGTCCAGGGCCAGATGTAGGGGTGCACACCTGTAATCCCAGCGCATGGGAGGCTGAGGCAGTAGGATCTCTCTAAATCTGAGGCCAGTCTGGCTACATAGCAAGACTTTATCTAAACAAAACAGGAAAAAAAAAAAACTTTCGTAGAAAGTACCCAGGATGGTGGTACAGAATAAACTCCTTCAACTGTTACCTTGCCCCCCTTTATTAATTTTTTTTCAGGACAGGGTCTTGCTAAATTAAGTTGGGCTTGAACTTGTGACCCTCCTGCCTCAGCCTCCCAGGACTGCGAAGATGAGGCACCACCCTGGCGGAGTGTGCTCTTGTTTTCGGAAAGCTCACTGTGAAGCAGTGTGCTGTTGGCCCACAGCGGCCTCGCACACCTGGTGTTTACAGCCCTCACTAGCACCACGAGGACACCTGGAGTGACTGGCCTGAACCACGGGTCACCTCGCCTGATGATGCTCTCACCACCTGCATTAAATGACACTGGGCGGGGGAGGAGCGGGACAAACTGGCTGATGGCTCCACCAGAGCCCGGCTGCCGGGTTCTCATTTGCGGGCTGCTAATTTCAATCCCGCGGTCTCAGGACGCCTCCTGGTGGCTCTTTGGAAGAACGCCTCTTGCAGCGGCCCGGGGACGCTCCAGGTGGTGGCTGGTGTCTCCTGGGACTGAGGAAGGAAGGACCAGGTCGCCTGGGTGCTCTGAGGAAAGGTGGGTCCGGGGCAAGTCCCCAGCGGGCGGGACCCCACCTCGATGGGGGGGCGTTGCAGATGGTCGCAGCGGTGTTGCGTCTCCTGCACAGTACTGACTGGTCCCGTGCTTCCCGCGGCTCCCGAGAGCGCCACCAGACGGCGGGGCAGGGGATGACATCGCGCCTGGAATCACCCTGGGGTCTGTCTGTTCCCACGAGCGAAGTTGTGCGCACGTGCTGGGGGTCCCGGGCCTGAAGGGGCTGCTTTGTGTTTCTTGGAATTCTACCAGGAGTCGTTCCGCCGGCGTGGTGGCCACGCCTGTCATCCCAGCACTTGGGAGGCTGGGGCAGGAGGGTCTCTGTGAGTTCCAGGCCAGCCTGGGCTACATAGACCCTGCCTCAAAAAAAGAAAAAGAAAGTGTTATGATAAAAGACACATTGCCATCAGTTCCCCTTCGAACATCCTCAAGGGCACTGCTATGGCCTGGTCCTCCATCTGTCCTTGACCTTAAAGTGCTGTGTGCCTCTTTGGGGCTCTGCTTCTGGTATCTACTAAGTGAGGGGCATTGGTTCTGTGAGACCCTCTCCCCTGCCGCTTCGCCAGTCTGTGGCCTCTGTGGAGGCCTGACAAGGCGCAGTGCTCAGTGGTCATTTTGCCGCCCCTTCCTGTTGCCGAGAAATGAGAGACCGGAACCCCTTCACAGGGCCGTCTGCGAGAGGGTGGAATTGCCTTCCGGGGCAGAGTGGAGCCCTGTGACTGTTACATAAATTCAACCACAGGGCTCAGGAGAAGGGAGAGAGAGGACGGAGGGAGGGGATGTCGTTTGTGACATTAGGTAGATGCTTTTAGGCTGGCAAGAGAGTAGAAGCAAAAGGGATTAAGGGCGAGGGACAGAAATGGAGAGGAAGGGCCTTCCGTCAGGAGGAAGCGGGACCGCTGAGCCCCAGCCTGCTGGCGGTGCAGGCGGGCGCGCCTGGGGCCTGTGGAAGCCCAGGAGGCAGTGGCCATGGGGCGCCTGCAGGGGGCGCCCAGCCTGAGCTGGCCACCAGTGTGGGTGCTCTGCTGCTTCAGGCCCCCTTGGAGGGG